AAGAACAGGAAAAAAGATTTTTTAGGAATTCCACCAGTTAAAAGGGTTGGATTTATAATAGATTTCAGGTAAAGAAAGATAATTATCAAGCTCATCATTTAACTCTTCAGAAGTATCTTGCATAAAAACTGTTTCAAAAAATATTTTTTAGTAAATCTGACATTGCCCTTCTTGTTTGTCTTGATCTTTATAAGAGCTAAAAGATTTATCAGATGATGTTGAGGCTTTATAAAGAGATTTAATCTTATTATATTTATTGTGAAGGGCAGTTTCAGCTTGGTGTCTCTGGGTTGGTGTTGCAAATATCAATTTTTTATATCTCGGATCAAGGAGGCAAACAAGAAATGCAACACCATCAGATAAGTACCAATAATGTAAAAGTGCACTATATAGTGCGTTTTTAATATTATGCTTCATATTTTTAGTATTTGTAGATGTATTTATATTAATCTTTTTTTTTTTAGAGCCTTCATCTTCCTCTTCCTCAGAATCAATGAATCCAATATTATCATCGAATGCTAGATCATCTGTTTCAAAATTTTCTTCACTTAATTCATCATCAGTATAACTTGTAAAAGTAGTTAGATTTCTCATTAACCCCAAATAGACAAAAGTATATAAGAAATTGTAATATATTTGGAACCACCAAGCTCCTTTGTAGTTTCAAAGAAAGGTTCTAAGATATCAACAAGATCTCTCATTAAAACCCATTTATTGTCAGTTAATTGAATTTTTTTTAATTTCTTTGTATCTTTTTAGTCTTCTGATATGTTTAAAATAGTCAATATTGTTACAGCAATATTGATTTCATCCTTAATTAGTAAAAGGCGTTCCCAAGCTAAATTCTAACAGGTTGGCACATCCATTTTTACATGAAGGTACATGGAAGTTTTTTCAATTACCTATTAAAAAAAAAAAAATAATAATAATAATAATAATAATAATAATAATTATAATTTAGTTATTTATATTTATACAAAGAATTAACAAATTGTATTATATTATTATCTGAAATTTTTAATATTTTTTAAGCTTCTTCAGTTTATTCATTTTGCTTTGGCACTATAAAGAAATTAATTAGTCATTTAGCCCTTACTACAAATGTTTCAGCTAGCATTAGGCCTTTCCTTACAACAAGTTGTATAGTGTGAGCCATGCATGGAATTCTCATAACATTAGCCATTCTGTTAATTGCTGCTTTCATATTTGATCTGTTATTAGTTGTGATTGAGTGTATTTTTCCTGTAAGACCCCAATCAGCAATTATATTTTCTAACTTTTTTTGAATAGCATTAGCAGTATATGGATATCTAACATAGGATAAAGAAAGCAGTATTTCATAGATTTTGAATTCAGAATTAATTCATGAACAGGTGATGCCAAGATACCCTTGCCTGTTGTGACTCATTCACAGGTCTGTAGTAAGTGAGCAAGTTGTAGCAGTATTTTGTAATTTTTTCCACATATTTTGGGCATACTGATCATACATTTTATGAATTGTTTGCTTTATACTTTTTTTCATTTGGCATATTAAACATTGGATCTAATTTCTTTACGAATATAAAATTGGCTTGACACAAGACTAATTGGTTGGGCACTACAGATAATAAATTTAATGAGAGTTATAGTAAGCTTATTATTCTTCAATTTGATATGAGGGTATGTATTCTTTATGAATGAGTCAATTTTAGTTTGTGTAGGCTATGTGAAATAATAAATAAAATTAGATATTAAATTTTTAGTTTAATTATTAATTTAATTATTTATTTAATTATTTATTACTTTGCTGTTGTTACTGTCTAGTCCAGATAATTCAGGCCCATTCTGTGTAATACCATGAGCACTTAAGAGGTGGGTTATTAAGTTTGATATTAAGCCACTTGAAGTTTTCAATTGAATGTTACAACATTCTTTAATTGAATTATTTAATACTTGACAAATGGTATATGTGACTTCAATATTAACTTTTTGTTTATTGAAGTTTTAAATAGATTTTATCTTTTTTTTTTCTTTGAAGTAGCTCTATACCCGGCTTTGTTTTTTTGAGCCACCTCTTTAACCAATCTTAGTTTTTTTAATAGTAGGCATATTTGGGGTTTCATTATCACTTTTTGTACTTATGCTTCTAGTTTCAGAGTCTGGGCTATTTGATCTTGTAACAGATTTGCAACTGATTCAAATTTCTCTATTGTATATCACTAATGGTGATTTTTGGTTTAATTAATCAAAAGCTTTACAAGATATTAGGATAAAATGAGTAAAAGTTATATTTCAAAGATAAGTACTAGATTTCTTTATTAATTTCAAATTCTTTGGTTTTTATATTTCTAAATTTTGATAAATTTCACTATTACTAATAATTACTATTCATTCAGATAACATATGCATGTACATATATTTATGAGTTAAAATGTGTTGTATGCATGAATCAAAAATAAATATAACCTCATATTTAATTTAATTTGTTTATATGCATAATTAGTATAAATATTTTCCCTTAGGCATTATACCTAATTTGCACAAATAAGTTTTTTTATTCTATTTTAATACACAGTATTCTCTATTTATAGTTTATACTATTTCTTAATTTTTTATTTTACTGCTATAAATAATTTTTTTTTCTAGTTTCCCAAAGAATTTAGTGATAACAATGATATATGCTGGGGTTTGTAACTCTAAATTATGTATGGTGTGAGAAATATAAAAGCCTCAATCACTTTACATAGAAGAATACATTGAAGATAAGCTAAATTCCGTGGCAATTTATTTTAAGTCTTAGCAGTAGCATCTTTGATACATTATTCTAATGCAAAGAGATTGATTCTTTGCTTTATTGAAATTGTAATTTAAGAAATTTATTTCTCTGAGGCTTTTAAATTTCTCGCACTATAGCTTTCCCAATGTTGCTATAAAAAGCTTGCTTAGAAAATTTTGATGCTACATTACAATTATTGACATTGTTAAAACAGCTAATCATTATTTACTTCCACAGATATGAATGGTTCATATGAACATTCTGGCGTGATTATTGATTAATGTGGAATTATTGTTGAAAAAATCAGATATCTTTTATCAAAAATCTGTAGGTAAGAATAATTTTTACAAGTTGGCTATTGTTATTATAACGCATTATCAGAAGTCTGCTAAAGCAAATAGTGAATTTATGGAATCATTATCTATTCCAAATATAGGATTGATACAATAGTGATTTAACGAATTCAAAATTAGCTTCTGAATTTAGTGTTCAAATCGATTAATCAATTAGTTAATTGAGTTGGCAACTAATCGATTGATAATTTATTAGACAACTAATCGACGATTAATCGATTAATCGATTAGTTAATTAATTGATTAGTTGACTAATCGACTAGTTTGTTTTATACGGTATCATACTTTGATCTTGTAATTAGTGGCTACGTAATTATATCCAAGCCATTTCAATATACAAACTAATCAATTAGCAATTAATCGATTAACTGACTAATCGGTTAATATATTAGTTGACTATAATCAATTTATAATCAATTTTTTAAAAAGCTTTTGGCTAACTAATTGATTGCATGATTTGTAATACTATTCTAAAATGCATTATCTATTTTATTAACAGTCTGGAACAATTTATTGTTTTGTTTAGATTGTTCTTAAGCAACTTCCTTATTGTGACTTGCTAATGATTGAG